GGAAGGAAGGAAGGAAGGAAGGAAGGAAGGAAGGAAGGAAGGAAGGACATGTCTTTCTTTACATCATTAAAGTTTTCTTTGGAAATCTGATATAGAGCACAACTTTGTTATATTGCTAATGATGTGAACCCAAATTTTATGCTTTGCTTGTGCCTGTTTTATTAAACTATTTTATTACAGAAAAGTCATAAAGAAATTGAATCTTGGCTCTTTTAACATTTTTCTCAGTTTGAAAATAAAGTGCATATGTGTAATGGTGTATAAACTGACAGGGTTTGTTATGGCAAGTGCTGTTGCAGAGAACTAACACCAAGTTAGTAGTGTGTATATAATCTCACTATATGGCTTCATCCCTATCATAAGTGTTGTATTTTATAAAACAGTCTCTCAAAAATCTACATTTTTCTGCCTGCTTCTTATTTGGTTTTAGGTTAATATACACATTGCATGAATTGGCAGGTATTCTTCTATTGGTGCAACCTATACTATGCCAGTCTCATTAAGCAGATGTTTGAATGGCAAGTTTCAATTTAAAGCTTGAATGGTTTCAATTATACTGGATTCCCAGTTCTGTCTTTGAATGTATTTTTGTTTGATTCTTGATAGTTTTTATGCCACAATGACAGGTTAAAAAAAAAAAAAAACCACTAAAAGGTCACTGAACAAAATGACGGAATTCTTTAAAGCAGTTAAGAAAACTAGGGAAGAAATAAACAAGCAAACAAATTGTTAGATGAAACATTGTGTGGTCTCGTGGTTATAGTGTTGTGCTAAGATTGAGAAGCCTTAAGTTAAAATTCCAACTCAATTATAAAATATATTGGGAGATCTTGGACTATTTCCTGGGCTGATTAAAATATATCATTAAGTTCAGCATCATGTGAATTAGATGCAAGCAAGCTGGAAGTGCTCCCTTTTTCTTCCCTAGCATGGTCATTGTTACCTGTAAACAAGTCAGGCGAATAAACCATGATTTGAGCCTAATCTTCCTAAAACAAGTCAGAATTTCCTAACTCTGGATTTAATAGGAAGGTTTGGTTATTTAAACACCCAAAGAAAATACATATACCACAAATATATGCCACCATTTTCACTTCCAAATCTATCAGATTTAGTTTATCAGCTTTGCTGGCTGAGGAATTCTGGGAGTTGAAGTCCACAAGTCTTAAAGTTGCCAAGGTTGGACACCCCTGCTTTACACAAAAGAACCAGGGAAAGATTCTTCATGATGTCTTTTCTATCTGCCTATCTGTTTTTGTTGTTTTGTTAGTGACATAATCCAAGTTATCTGATCCACTCTTTCTATTGACCTGCATATTTTCCATTACTGACAAAGTGTATATCATTGAATTTTGAATCATTGAATCTACCACCAGACTCACTCTATTGATTCCAAAGCCATCCTGTAGTTGCCTTGGAAAGTCTGTCTTCTTTTAACACATGTGGAATAATACCAGCTTCTATCTGAGATACTTCACTGGATGATGGTCTTCAATCAATATTGAATATTCATGATAATAATTATTTCCTGAAGAGATCTTCTGTTTGAAAGTTCTTTGCTGTTGCCATCTGATTTCTTCTACACCAAGACATAGCTTGCATCTATAAGTGGTCCTCAGGGGTGGGATTCAAATTTTTTAACAACCAATTCTGTGGGTGTGGCTTAGGTGGTGGGCATGGCTTGAATAGTCATGTGACTGGGTGGACGTGGTTTGGTGGTCATGTTTTTGGCTGGGCGTGGCCAACTCAATATCACTCACATCGAGGCATGCATCTCCTCGCCTGGCCTTTCATGACTGTGAGGATGCTGCAACAGTCGTAAGTATAAAAAAGGGTCATAAGTCACTTTTTTCAGTGTCATTGTAACTTTGAATGGTCACTCCACACAAGCAAAGTACCAGCAAAGGAGGGGGAAAAAAAACTTAGAGAAGTTCCAGAGACAGGAAGTCTAGTCCTGCCAAGAATGTAATAAGGGTTAACGGAGAGATAGTTTCTGTAAGCAACACCAGAATGTTTCCTTCCTGCCTTCCTTACAGGATTAGGCCAGTAATTTCTTCTAACAACCGGTTCTCCGAACTGCTTAGAATGTTAACAGCCAGTTCTACCGAATAGGTGCGAACTGGTAGAATCCCACCCCTGGTGGTCCTCATTTAGCAACCACAAATTGGTCATTAAGGAAAATGGTCATCAAGTAAAACCTGAATTAACTTGCTGGATGTCTGTTTTCACAGCTCAACAATTTCCCACTATCTCCACTTTTTTAAAAAAAAAGTTTAATAAAGAATTTTATAGAATAAGAAAAGCAAATATTCAGATTTAAAGAAAATAAAAATAAAAAAACAGAACAAGTGAATAAGCAGAAAAGGTAAATCTCCCGCATTTTCACTGCAGGTGAAATTCTGCCTTGCTAGTTGATAGGTTAGTAAGTCTGATAATTGCATCTTAAATATCCAATTATGCATGAAGTAATATTGAGAATATTGTTGAAAAAAATGATAGCTCTAAATTATGCTACTCACTAAAAGGGTTACAGTTGCAACGTTAATGAATTTGTCACAGCAATATCTAGAATTGCTGCAGGTCAAATATTCACTCAATATTAGAAAAAGTGTTTGATATTCAGTACCTGAAGTGAAAATAAGATTTTAAAGGTATTGTGTCCATAGGTAGAGGCAGGGTTGGTGGTTTTGGCAATGTTCAGTATGTAGAAGTGTCCAAAAGCAACTTCACCTGAAGGAATTGATGTGATTTACAAATCACTCTCTATAAATATATGAATAGATGTCCTTTGCAACCATTTAGAAAGCAAAGTGAACCTCCCACCCATCAGTTGACTATGTCACCTGAGGCTTTTCCTTGAAGCAGGACCAATGCATTCCATTTGTGATAATGAGCGTGATCCATTTCAGCACATCTTCAGTATTTTGCTGAATGGGATTTCCTGCCTCTTCCTCTTCCTATTGTTCAAAGGAGTCCGTTTAATCCCGACTTTTCTGCAGATCCTTAATGTGTGGTTCTTCTGTCCTCAGCCCTCAATACAGGGAAATACGAGACACTGCAAAAAGAGAAGGAGGAGATGGAAAAGAAGTTTGAAGGAACTGTGCAGAAACTCACTTGGCAGCATCAGGAGGAGCTCCTGGTACTTGAAGAACGTTTGCAGTTACAGTACAGTGCTGAACTAGAACATTTGCGGGAGAACCATCAGGTCAAGCTTGAGAGAATAAAGAGTCAGCATCAGGAACAGGTTGGTCAGGTTCACTCAGTGTAAGCTCACATGAGAGTGACTATGCTCCATGAGTTGACAGGCAATCTTCATTTCTGTACATTGCAGCTAAAACACCTTTTTCAAAAAAACATATATATGTGTTTGAAGTAGGTACTGTTGGTTGGAGGATTTTAGTGTGTTGTGGATGATGGGAGTTTACTGTTTTAAACTGGATGGTAGCAGAGCCCCACGGTCATATGACCATGATTTATGATATTTTTGCCAGAAACCAGTTTCCAGTTTCCAGAGAAAAACACCGCATAGTGAACAATGGGTTCACTTAACCACAATATTCGCTTTATGGTATTCACTTAACAATCACCATAAAACAGGTCATAAAGTTTAATGCCATCATGTAGTAGTCTATGTTACAATTGTCTGATAAACAAGGACTACTTGTACATAAGAAATGCTTTTATGGGGAAAGTTCCAGTAGATTGCAAAAATATATTACATTGTTCTGTCCAACCATGGCTTCAGAACGATTTCAACCTGGTGCAAGAAATTATATAAAGTACAGTATATAACAGAGTTTTGGACATGAAGCACCATAGCTGATAGGTATACAAAATATATCAGGTTAAATCTCTGGGGTCCCTAGAGAAACCCCTAACTGGGAAACCAAAGAGATAGAGTATATGCAGTGCATCCATAAAAATCAAAAATGCAAATCATCTTTGCAAGTCAACTGTAGGAACGCATGCCATAGTTCAAGGCAGCCTGCTATGCAACAAAAGATTTACAAATACAATCCATCAAAAGATTCATAGATGTCATCCATGAACAGGCTAGTTGAAAGGCGGGTTGGAAGAAAATCTATTAGTTAGGTTTTGGCTCCTCAAGCAGTTACTTTTCTCACTGTTAAGAGGAACTTGCTGAAAAAAATGTGTTTCAGATGTAAAAACTCTATTGGATTAGCTCTATCAAGTGTAATCCCTTGTTTTCATAAGATCTAACTGTTCATTTTCTTTAAAGTTCTTTAAAGCCACCATGCCTAGTTTACTTCTTTTTATACTTGTCCATTGTTATTTGAAAAGGTGGATGACATTGCAGCAACTCAGGAAGTGGCAGTATTAGAGATGGAAAATAGTCACGCGATTGCCATTGCAGAACTTCAAGAAGAATATGAGCACAAAATTCAAGGTAATTCTGTAATCCCAGCAAGCACTTATTCTACTATTTTAGATGGTGATCCCTGAGCAATCGGTTTGTGGGATGCCTTCCCCAGAATAGTCCAGGGAATTATACTATACTATATTATTTTATATTATATCATTATATTACACTCATTTCTTACCTTGTCCCTCTAAATGTTTTGCCTATAATTCCCAAAAATCTTGATCATTGATCATGCTGATAGGGTTTTATTCATCCAAAATGTATGAAGAGTACTAAACTGTCTCTTCCTACCATCATAAATCCATATTACACAACTCACAGTCAAATTCCTTTTTTGTACATATTAGTACGGAGCTATTGTCTCAGCAAAGCTTACTAAGGGAATCATAAAAATTGCTGTGGTATCTTTTTGACTAGCAGTTTTACTGTGACATAGTTTCCCTAGCAACAGTTTCTACCTGGGGACTTCTAATCTATCAAAGTTGGGCAGGATAAAGTTAAAGGCAATGCAAATGGCCCACAAAAATTGGAGAAGCTTTGTCTACCCAAGAGGGGCTCTGCTTTAGAAATAAATATTTAGCAACAGTCTAAGATAGGATATTATTAAAAGCACTAATGACTTTCATAAAGAATAGAATCCTGATCATTAAATATCAATACTGCTTCTCAATTATGCCATCTTCTAACCATCATTATTAATATTTTTCAAAATATTTTGGTGTATAGTAAATGTATTTTACATCTCTGTTATGAACGTATTTCTCACCATTCTTTAATAAATAAAATCCCACTTCTTGTCTAAACTGTTGGGCTTTTTTGAAATAATTGTAAGAATTAACACAGATGTTGCTTCTTTCCAATCATGTACAGTTTATGCAGTAAGATTGCCCTCTTGTGAGTGAATTTAGGATTGAAACAGGTTTTATTATTTATGAAGTCACAGACTTATAGCAATTAGTTGGGCTATTAAATTTTAACACATGGGTTATTAAACCACAAATTACTGAGGGTCAACAAAATGTCATCAATATTTAAAAGGAGGGGTATCTTTCTTTCTTTCTTTCTTTCTTTCCACACTGTATAGGCTGTCAGCTGAATTCACAGCAGGAAACTTTTAAATTCACTAGATCACAGTAACTGGATCATCAACTATTCATTCAACTGTTCCAATTTTTTTAAAAAAATTAACAATTGCAGTTTTCATTGAAATCATATTAAAATGCAAAAATTGGGCAAGCTCATGAACTATGTGTGATTTCTTTTTTTAAAAAAAAACCCCCATCTAGAAATGAAGTCTGCTCATGAGCAAGAAAAAAGAGAACTTGAAGAAAATTTTGAAAAGTTGCGCTTGTCACTCCAGGTTAGTATTTTATTTATATTCTGGTAAAAAAAATGTTGCTTGTTATATTATGTGAGTCTCCTGGAAGAGCAAAATTATTCCAGCAGTTCAAAAGCAGCAGCAATGAAACAGACTCTAAAGTATCTTGAGGAAGACTCTAAGGAGTATTGCGTCTATTATGATACCTGCTAGTTTTCCTTTCCACCAGCTGTACTTTGTCTACTATTTCCCTGAATAGCGCTATGAGATTGCACACAGATGATACTTAAGAGTTCCTCCTCTCCCAAGGATTAAGATTTCTGAGGTAATATTTTTGTTGTTTGTTTATTCCCCTGCTTCAAATTATGTTTGAAGTTCAAACAACATAATGTGTAAAGGCAGCAAGTGAGGAATATGCTGGAAACATGAAAGCATTGTTTCTCTATCCTGATTCGTTTTTATTAATAACCTGGATTAAGAAGTTGAGGAAATCACATTTGCATCAAACCAGCTCTGGCTAAAGTTTTTAGAAGAGAAAAGGGGGATCCAAAAAAGATCTAGACTGTTTGAACAGAAAGAAACTTTAGCAGGAAGAAATAGAAAGTCCTGCTAAAGAAACAATGTCATTCTCGGATGAATTCACAGGATACAATCCTGCTCTATTCTGCTTCATCAATCCCAGTTTGGACTACAGTGCCCAGTTCTGGGCACTACAGTCTAAAACAGACTTAATTGGAGCAAGTTCAGAGAAAGGCTAGCAAGATCACAGAAAGAGTGGACGCCAAACTCTATGCAGTATATATAATTAAAGGGACTTGGAATGTTAAACCTGCAGAAGTAAAGTCTTCAGATCTCTAAAGAGTTATCATTGTAAAGGAAGAACTGGACTTGTTCTCTGTCAGAATCAACAGTTTGAAATTATAGAGAAGGGGTTTCAGGTCAACCAATAGGTGTCTCAGGAAATGGTATGTAGGTCTTCAGAGAAGAGGTTAGGTAACCATCTGTCCAGAATGCTTTGGTGAAAGAGGTAGGATTAGATGACCTCTGAGGTAATTTCCAACTCTGTGACTTTGGCAGAACCTGTTAAGGGTGCTTTGTCTATATATTCATGATATCCGAGCTGCCAATGACTAGCTTGGAGCCATAATGAGCAGCTTGATGAAAATGTCAGTCCCTTTGTGAAACAGGCCAATTTCATGCTTGGAGGCAGTAAAAATGAAATTGAAAAAGGAACTGCTAATATAATACTGCCCTTATACAATTCTGTGATAAGACCACACTTGTGCTATTTGCTCAGTAATGATTTATAGTGGCTTCCAGCTATGACTGGGATGATAAAACTGTAACAAAGGCAGACTTTGGCTGTAGTGATGCTGGAAGACACTATAAATTACTAGTGAGGAAATGTCCTTGGAGTATTGTGTACCGTTTTTGTTATCAAGACTGAAAAAGGATATCTGCAGAGCTAGAAAAGGGCTGGCAAAATGATCAGAGGGCTGGAGCAGCTTCCTTGCAAGCAAAGATTATAGGAATCCTCCACTAGCCTGATCTAGTCAGGCTTTCTGAGTTTCCAATTAATATTGGAATCAAGCACATCTAAAGGTAAAGGTGTCACCTGTCCAATCTTGTCCGACTCTAAGGAACAGTGCTTACCTCCATTTCTTAACCAAGGGAGCCAGTGTTGTCCAAAAACATTTCCATGGTCACGTGGCCAGCATGACTATATATTGAGGTGCACTGAATGCTGTTATTTTCTTACCGAAATGGTACCTATTTATCTACTCGTATTTTCATACTCTTGAGCTGCTAGATGGGCAGGAGCTGAGGTGAGTAACGGGAGCTCGCCCCTTCATGCCGTGCTCAGGGCTCAAACCTTTCCAACTGACAAGCTCAGAGTTTTTATCCACTGAGTCATCATGCTTCCTCAAGTACATATACCAAACACATATATGTAAATTATAGATTATTGATTTATGCATTACCTTTGCTCAATGGGTTACAAAGTCAGATTTCAAAAGGTTGCATTAAAACCAAATTGAAATCATCATAAATACCATAATATAAAAGAGGTAAAGGAAAGGACAAATGACTAAACCTATGTTGTGACAAAATTTTAAAACCTTACATATTGCTTGCTGTTGCAAAACAAATAAGATGCTTGCAACATTATGTCACAATATACATTTTGGCATTACTGTATCACAGTTAGGAACAGAGGCATGGCTATCACTACTAATGAACCAGCATTTTCAAATACTGTATTCAGTGTAAAAGAAATGAAGATGATGCTTGCCCCTATGGACTATTTTCTCTATGGTTTATTCAAGAAACTACATTAACATACTGAAACCTATTCTCCTTTATTGGTAAACCCTAAACATTATGATTTGCCTTAAAAGTAACCAAAGGGGTACACTAGGCTGGGTGGGAAGCATTTTCTGTGTTTTTGAAGGGTGAAATTGATACCTTGACACTTGTTGCAACTCTGGCTTAGAATAATGTGGCAGCATAGACAATTGGCATTTCTTAAACCAGCGGTTTGCAACCTGCAGCTCTGGAGCCACATGCGGCTCTTTCGGCTCTCTGCTGCAGCTCCCTGTTGACTGATCCCACCACTGGCGGGCCTCTCCCCTCCCCATCACTCCTCGCCTGGCCTGAGAAGGTAAGGGTGATGGCGGGGGATGGAGACTCGTTTCATATTTCAGAGCAGGAGTGAGTGAGTGATATTGAGTTGACCACGCCCACCTAATCACACCTGTTGTTAAATTATTGCCTCCCAGTGTTTTCTGTGGGAAATGGGTCCAAGTGGCTCTTTGATTGTTTAAAGTTGCAGACCCCTATCTTAAACTAATACATCCCAGACTTGCAGAAAGATTAAAACTGCCAACTTCATGACAAGGACAAAGAGTCATTGGTGGGCTCAACTGCTATAAATCCTCAAAACCAAAGCAAAAAATCTTTTAACTCTTCAATGGACAGGAGGAAAATAAGACACTTGCTTAAGGCTTATGCATATGACATTCCCACACACATACATGCACACATCATATCTTGTTTGCCGTGTATTCATCTAGCTGTATAAAAAAATATAAGAGCCGTTTCTGTGTTTGGTATCTTAAACACTATCAGACTTAAATACTTTCTTCTTAAAAGACAGGCTGGGCTAGAACATCTAAAAACTCTGAGACAGGAAGCAGAATGCATCCCAGATTCTTGCAAGCTTGGAAATGGACAACTGCCAGCTCCAGCAAGCTGCAACATCTCAAAGACAAGGGTAGTTTTACTACAGCTCCAAATGCCCTGCCCCTGAGCTCAAAATAAGTTGACTTAGTTACTAACACAGATAACAGTTTAAGTTCACAGAGATTCAAAGCTGGCGTAGAGACCATGTTTGGAAGTGTGCAAGGGCCTACAAAGAGGGAAAGCATGAAAGCCATTATCCCGTACCCATACCTTCTATCTAAGATGGAAGTTGATCATGCAGGCCACAAGAAACCACATTACGTATCTGATATTAACACAGTTGAGAAAGTCCAGAAATATTTCACAAGAAGAGTTCGCCACTCCTCTACTCGTTGCAGAATACCTTATGCCACCAGACTCAAAATTCTAGACCTAGAAAACCTAGAACTATGCCGCCTTCGGTCCGATCTAAGTATAGTCTATAAAATCATACATTGCAATGTCCTACCATTCAATGAATACTTCAGTTTCAACCATAAGAACACTAGAGCAAACAAGAGATACAAACTCAAGGTTAACCGCACCAAACTTGATTGCAGGAAATACGACTTCAGCAACAGAGTGGTCAATGTCTGGAATACTCTACCTGACTCTGTGGTTTTTTCCCCAAACCCCAAAAACTTTAACCTTAGACTGTCTACTATTGACCTCACCCCTTTCCTAAGAGGTAGGGGGCGTGCATAAGTGCACCAACCTGCCTACCGTCCCTGTCCTATTGTTTCTTTTATATATATTTTTTATTTTTCTTATATGTATCCATGTATTCATAACTATGTTTTTACTTATACCTATTATCTTGTAAGCAATTGACAAATAAATAAAATAAATAAATAAAAGAAGAGTTATACCAGAGGAGTAAGATTTACAGACAGAAGAATGTAGAAATGAGGGAGGAAGTGCCTGTGCTGTTTCTACAGCTCAGTCCCATCCTTCTTCAGTTGGCCCCTCCATGTCAACCACCAACTCTCCTTTCACTTAAGGAAGGGATATTTTATGTAATCAAAACAGTGAGGGAAAATGGCCATAAAGCTCAGGCTCATCCCTGCAGGGGAGAAGACTCTCCTTTTCTCCTCTTCTCTTCTCCCCTTAATTGCAGGAGCCAGTAGGGCACTTTCTCAACATTAATTAGTAGCTCATGTCTGACAGGTTTGCCTTGAGGCTCTATGCTACCAATCTTGGGTTTTACTTAAAACAATTACTTTTTCTTCCCCAGAATAATTGTCTAAAATGCTTGCCCAGAAGTGAATTAGATCATCATTGAGAAGTGATTGTGTTTAATATCATTTACAGGACCAGGTAGATACACTTACTTTTCAAAGCCAGTCTCTAAAGGACAAGGCAAAACGATTTGAAGAGGCATTGAAGAAAAACACTGAAGAACAACTAGAGGTAATCAATATGTGTTTGTACATTATTCAGTCTAACTGAAAAATACGGGTGCTCTTCTTATTCAGTGACATGACAAGAGGAATAGTGATCCAGACTAAAGGGCCTACTGATGGAAATCTAGCCTCAATGTCAATGAATAAAGTTATAGAAATCTATGTTTTGAAGAAGTTTTGAATACTCTGTTGTAACAACTCAATATGTTTTAAAGCATCTTCCTTGCAACCTACACTAGATCACTTAACAAGCCCATCTCTAAACAAAGAAATGCTGTTTTCCTCTTCAAAATGCCTTTAGCCATAGCATCTACATGCAAGACCAAAAAAAACTTCTGTGATGACCCAGAGTGTAACACAAAGGTAGCAAAATCCAAAATGTAAATAAATGTCCTTTAATGCCTCCAACTTTGCCCCACTCTTCAATAATTCTCAGTTGGAGATAAAACGTACTCAAAAATAGTCTTCAAAAGAAAGCAATACAGTCCAAATTTAATGTGCAGATAGGGGTGAAAATAAAGGCCAAACAAACTACAATGATGAAATTTCCACAACGGAACAGGAGAAGTATTTGCCAAATTCAAGGAGATAACAAGGCACAGTCTGTTGGCAGGACGCCAACCAAGATAACCTCAAACCAAAATAAAACACACTTTGTCTCCAGCATTTGCCAGAACGCAGGTCCAAACTCTTATGCAGTTCTCACATCTGCAGCCCATGAAGAGGATCAAGGCCCTTTCCTCCTGAGGAGACCATGTCTCTCCCTTATCCTCTCCTCCCTGTGTGCCTTAGGATGGATATGGGATGGGCCTGGGTCCTCCTCTGACTGCTCAGCCACCCTCTGCCCTTTCCCAGCCTCCTCCACAACCTCCAGAGCCACCCCTCCACTCCCTGTTGGCTGTTCCTCCTCTCCCTCAGAGTCAGTCTCCACCAGGGGCATGACACCTTCCACTTTCAAATGAAAATATTTGTAGCTCAGGACTGACATGAGATGTCCTTGCTGCTCTCTGAGCTCAGTTGTTTTTCTTGCAGATGTTTCATTACCCAAACAAGGTATCATCATTGACATCATCAGCAAGTCTGTAAGAAACATCTGCCACAGGTGTGTCAAACTCACAGCCTGTGGGTTGGATGCGTCACGCGCTGGCCATGTCCATGCCTGGTTTAGCAAAGGGGGGAAAAGTTGTGATACATCCTGTGATGACACGGTGACGTTGCGAGTTTGACACCCCTGATCTACAAGAAAACAACCAAGCTCAGAAATCACCAAGGACATTTCACTTCTACTTGCCTTTACTTTCCTTCCTTAAAAAAATAAATCTCTCTTTCAGTGCCTAAGTCACTTACTTTAATTTAGTGCAGCTATCAAGGAGGCAGGTAACCCATTAGTAAGACTTTATCTTTGTGCTTTGCTTCTGTTCCTCATAGAATACGGAGGGTGGTATAACATCATTTGTGTGGTTAGAGTGGAAATAAATGCTCACTCAAGTTCTTGGGTTTTGTCTTAAACCTGAAGGACTTGCAGATGTTTTAGGCATTAATTTGCCTCTTAAGCCAAATATTGGGGGAAAGAAGCTATTAAAAGAGGTAACAATTGATCCTCTTTCCCTATAAAATAGAAAACCCCCAAAGGGTAAAGGTGTGACCTCCTTCTCTGAGAGAGAGTTCAGAGGGGCTATGTTCTGACCCGGCCAGGTTCCCAAAGAGCAAACACAGACAAAGGCAGCAGCCCCCACCTTTTAAAGTTTAATAATGAATTCTGTTCTGAAGGCTGCTTTCCACTAATTAGCTCCAACAGGAAAGAGCCTTGCCAAGTTTTTTTGTCAAGGCTGCCAAAAACCCAGAGATAAGAACTAATTTATAAAATTCTCCAAACACGAACTAAGATGTCCACCAGTTGAGTTTCAGAGCTTCTTTGCTGTCTGCAAAGAACGCTTTTTCAAACCTGGCTTACTCCCGAGTCGCCTGTGCTGCTGTAATTGTTCTTTCCTCCAAGTAATCCTTCGTGCACATGCACTTGGCACAGGCTCCTCGGGAATCTCCTCATCACTGCTGCCAGCCCCCACAATCTCTGAAGGCAGCAGTCCACTCCCTGATGGTCCTGGCCCCTCATCAGAGTCCTCGCTCTCCTCAGCCATCTGCACCTGCTGCCAGCTAACCACAACAGGCTAGGAAGCTGCAAATAAAATTAGAGTACTTTCGGAGTCAATGGCCCTTCAATGACTTTCTTTAGTGTTGTGGTGGAGCATGTGGTGAGATGTTGTTGGTCCAGTGGGCTGTCTGATATTGACATAAACTGGCTAAATAATTGTATCATTTCAATTTGGCTTTTAGATCATTTTTGCGATTGGGTAACAAGGCTTAGATTGCTTTGTCCTTCAATCACTTTCTCGGCTTTCCACTTCTTTCTGATGCGCAGACGCAAAACGTTCACTTTCTTCTGTCTTATGCTGGTGGAAACCTACGCTTCTTTGCTGGTTCCGTCAACACGAATGGCAGTTGCACTCATCTCCTAGCACTCAATCTGGGTTTAAAGCTGAGCAGTAACATACATTTTATAAATTCTGCATGAAAGAGTCAGATTTAAGTCTATCAATAGTGAGTAGCTGGTGGCCAGATGAATGCTGGCCCAAATATTTTCTAGTTTTAAATAACTATGGAGGTTATTTTTATATGGTCTGCAAATTACTATGGCACTGTATCTCATGGTATTTCTGCTAAGTAAATAATGAATATATAGCATTGCCAACAAGACATAGTCTTGACATAATTAAGTCTGTCCAGAATTATCCAGGCTTTACAAATGTCTTCTACCTAGCTGGCACCTCACTGAAATTATGGGTAAAGCCAAGCCTGCCAACTAGTTATGACACCCCACATATCCCAAGTAATAAAAAGCAGCAAATCTGCATAACCCTATGCAGATAAGGTTCAGAGACACATCCGTGGGCATTCTTAATTGTCATGCCAAACCTAGACCACCTGAGAGGCAAGTTGAAAAATAAGGGCTTAGTTTTTAAACAGCGTTTCAATATTTTGAAGTTGACATAGGACATTTTTTTTTTTTTTTTTTTTAAAACAAGTTTTATTAAAAGTTTCAACAACAAACAAATCATTACATATTGAATCTTTCCCTGTTTTTCTACAATAATTTCCCCAATATTCTCATAAAACACAAACAAACACAAACAAACATAAAAAAAAATCTTTTAGTAAAGTACCTTGGCCCCAGTTACCTCTCTTTGCATGGGCTAAAATAATAACACATATCACTCTTCACATTTCTATCTTATTTAATCCATCTTAATTAAATCATTAAATTGTATCTTTTGCCCATTCATTTATCCCTCTATCTCTTCTTATAATAAAAGAAAAAATTTCTCCTGAAATCACTAATCAGAGTATGATGCCTTTCTATCCTCCCCCTAAGTTAGTAAAATTAACATTCAACATAACAAATACCCAATTTGGTTCTGCTTGGTACATTCTATCCACCAAAAATGTTTAAATACATTGTATCCTCCTTTCCTTCGATATTTTATTACATTTTAAAAATCAATCATTAATAAAAACTTCAACATTTTAATTTCTTATTAAATCTTAAAGCATTCTAATTTACTATTTCAAATATAAATGTTACAATACCATCTTCTGTACCTTAGCAGAATCTTTCTTACAGAAAATTATATTTCATCCTTTATCTCTAAAAAAAATCCCTCTTCTCCCATCCAATTTTAAAGCTTTGAGGCTTTTCTCCGCCTTTCCCCTTTCTTTCTTCCCCCACCAAATCTTCCTACCCCCCCTTCTTCTTCTAACCTCTGCCTTGCTGGGATCCCTTCTCTGTTGCATTCCCTTTTTCTCTTGTTTGTTATCATTATATTTACTTTGCATCATATTTTTCTCTTTCTCAAATGTTTTTTTAGATCTTAAGTCCTTCATTTTCCTTGCTCTCTTCCTTCCTTCTTCCTTAGATAAGTTTTGGAATTCAATGAAGATGGCGTCTTCGTCTCTTCCTTGTTGTTCTTCTTCCATTTCCATCTGTTCCATTGTCTGTTGGTAATTGACCAGCGCCATTTCTAGAAATAGAAAAGCTTTTTCCATGCCATCTTTGCAGATTGCTTTTGTTTGCTCATATTCATCCCTCAGGTCTTCAAAAAGGAAAGCCATTATAAATAAGTCTTTTCTTTTCTTTATTCCTCTTTCTTCTTACACCAACCAAATATTCCGAGAGAAAGGCAAAACAATCCCAAAATCCACAATCCTCAATAAATCCAAGCAAGCCAAAATTCCCCCTTCCTCTTCCAGGGGTGGTATCAAACAAATAAAAAAAAAGAATCCAAGTCTATATTTTAAAGCCTTATTAAGATTGTATTTCTGTCCTCAAGTCTTCAAGGCATCTCCTCCAACAAGATCCAAATTTATATATTTTCTTTATCCTCTCCCTTCCGGCTTAATTCCGTCGGGAGGGAGAGTAAACTTTCCCTTCAGCACCTCAAAACAGCCGCTTTTTTTTCTCTTGTGGAAGAAATCATCAGAAAACCATCTTTTCCAGGAATTAAATTAAATAAATCTCAAAGCCCTGGGTCGACCAAGAAGAACTTTTACTTTCAATAACTTTCTCTTCTTCCTCCTGCGCATACTTGCCCGGCTGTCAACTTCTTTGTGGCGGCCATTACGGACCGCCGCTGCACCGTCCTGGTAACAGGGGGTTCTGCCGGCCAGGGAGGGGGTCTGCAACACCCCCAAACCCTTCCTCCGGATCCCCCTTACCTTCAGCTACCCCTGCAGGGCAGCCTTGCTCCGCACCCGTCCGGGTCGAAGCCCCAAAACGGCTAGCGCGGCAGGGATCGCGCAGCTTCGCGAATCCCTACCGCTCGCGAAGCCGACAAACCGGAAACCAGGACATTTTTTGTATTAGTTCAACAAACTTCTTTAAATGTTTTTTGCTATACAAATTGAAGACTGCTGTGCTGCTGTCCTGTCCTCACCCCCAATTCCACTTTAAAAGGGAAAATATTTCAGAAAATTATTATGCTGAAATCTTTGAAGCTGTAAGACTGCAACTTTCTGGATTAACGTCTACAAATAAGTCTACTGTCCCTGCTGTTTTCATTCCATCTTGCCAAAATATGAAGCAGGTGCAAGCATTCTGAATCTTCCCTTCATATCTTCTAAATGATTTTTCCCCTGATTAAACCTCAGAGAAGCTTCAGTCAGTTCAGCTGCATCAAACAACATTTTGCTGTTTACTTTAATCAATTTGTATTCAAATTGCCAATTTAATTAAATCAGGACCGAATCGTACTAGTTCAATTTGTATTATTTTTATAGTACTGAGCAAAAAAGCCCCTGTCCTGGGTGATCTAGCAGTGCTGCTTCTCATATTGTTCTTCATTCTTTTAGATTGCCCTGGCTCCATATCAGCACTTAGAAAAAGATATGAAGAGCCTAAAGCAGATTCTGGAAATGAAGAATGTACTCATTCATCAACAAGAAAAGAGGATCATGGAGCTAGAAAAGCTGGTGAGGTCTCATTTGCTGCTATTTCTGACTGTTTATGAAAAACTTGAAGAGTGATTAAAAAGCACAGATTAGTATGTTGTTGCTTATCTATCAGAACAATCTTGCTCAATTAGATACCCGCATATGCAGTGGCGTATAGCTCTCACCATTTCCAATCAGTGTGTTCTGCATTTTTTATAACTTCACTCACATTCTCTTTGGCTGGCTCAAAATTGTGTCCAATGACAACGTTTGATCAGCAACTAACATAGAATTGCTTGTGACAAGTTCTTAGAAATTTTTGTCTGTCTTGGCTGCATATTACATGTGGTTGCAGTGATCCTAATTTTCAAATTATTGGATTCCAGAGGTGAATGTATGTGGGGTTTAATTCAGATCTGGGTGGAAATGACCTGTGGGATAATTTTTATATCATAATCTTTTGGAGAAAGTCTCCAGTACAAGTTGCTTGGATTCAGAGGAATCCATAGAATTTCTCAGAATAACAAAACTCTATGCAGGATTTCCCCCTTATGGATGTGTGCTTTGTTACAATATTATTGTAGAAAAGCTCAGAGTTGCATCATATTGTCAAAATACTTTCATCATTCCTCCAGTCCCACCCCTCACAGACACCCATGCTTGTGGTAAATATAACAGTCTGCCTATCTCTTTAGGCAGAAAAGAACTTAATTCTAGAAGAAAAAATTCAAGTACTACAACAACAAAATGAAGACTTCAAAGTCAGGATTGATCACAACACTGTGATGACAAGGTCAGTTGAAATATTTTCTATAGAGTAAGAGGATAAAGGCAACTATCAGTGGATTTAATTATGTCTTTTTTATGTTCACTTTTCTGCTATTGCTCAAGAGAATCAGAGTATTGGAAGAATATGAACATTATTCTATAGATTGAGAGTTCATGCCATGCTGGTTAGGGCTGCTATTGTATATGGATTCAGCAGGAATTATTTACAAATCGGTATGAAGGTATCAATCTCACATGTGTTTGGTCATAGTTTTTTCCCGTTGATAAATGCACTGAAAATTAGAACTTAGCTTGCATTTTTTCTGTAAAATGTGCATTTGGCGTACCTCCGTGATTTACAATTTATAAAATGTAAGAGCCTCGGTGGTTAGAGTGCAGTACTGCAAGCTACTTCTGCTGCAGCCAGCTGTCTGTAATTTGGCAGATTGAATCTCACCAGGCTCAAGGTTGACTCAGCCTTCCATCCTTCCGAGGTGGTAAAATGAGGAACTAAATTGTTAGGGACAATATGCTGACTCTGTAAAGTACTTAGAGCTGTAAAAGCACTATAAAGCGGTATATAAGTCTAAGTGCTATTGCTATTTTCTATGTATGTGTCTTGCTTGAAGTATACAGTATTCTGATCCATGGAAGGGTGCAAGAAATGTGAATGGAAAACATTCATTTTAAAAAAAAATGAAGACAAAATAAAATTCTCCAGCTTCCCAAGTAAATATTTACAGGATTGTACTCTACAAGACTGAACTGTGAATCAAAGATTGCTTGATTCAAATTACAACATCCATGAATTCTTTGAATGCTTATTTGACCCTAGTGACATTTCATAAATTCACTTCCCAATAGTGAGTGATAATACAGAAATAATAATACAGTCAGAAATGCCTTGCTGAAGTGAGGTTGTTGACCTTTGCTTTTCTTTATGTATCCATATGATTTAAAACATCATTGTCCATTGTTGCACCAATGTTAAGGATGCTTGTCTAACCACATTGTTCCTTGAGTCCTTGGCAGAAAATTTCATCAACTCTTTCCTTTGAAGGAGTAGAAGCAAAATAAGCAAGACTTTAAAAAAATAATGAATAACTCTCATTTTGTTATGAAACAAAATGCAGGTGAGCAGTTTGTTGTAAGAAACAAACATTTTCAAGAATCATGTATACATTTATTGGGTCACAAACTTCCTTATTTATCAGCTATCTCAGGGGTCGCCAACCTTTTGGACCTCAGGGACCACCAAATTCATACTTTAAATCCTGAGGACAACTAATACATTTTCTTTAAAAAAAGATAATATATTTAATATAAAAATATATTAAATATAAATTTAATATAAAATTAATTTTATATGTATATCTATGTATGTATGTATGTATGTATATATGTATGTATGTATGAAGCGACGTCTCGGCAGAATCTCATCTGCCATCATCTGGCTTGTGTATTGGGTTTGTCTGTGTGTCAGGCTTTCACAACCGTTTCTGTTCTGTGAAAGCCTGACACACAGACAAACCCAATACACAAGCCAGATGATGGCAGATGAGATTCTGCTGCAACATTGCTACAACTTTAAAAGCACAACTATAATGATATGGGAAAATACCCGAACAAAGCTGAATACCATACATATAAACACTCACGAAAACTTAAGAAAACATATATACATATACATATATATATCAAAATATAAAAATGCTTATTTGATTATAACAAAATCGTAAATGCTAATCATAACTGTGGGGCAGAACGAAGGGAAAGGAGGGGCCTCTCTCATCCAGCTGGAAAGATCTGGACGGGGAGGAACCAGCTCCCCTCAAATGGAAGAAAAACAGAGGCCTCCCCCAATCTGGTCTCCTGTCATTTCATATCTCCCCCAAGTCAGAGGAAACCTCTCCCTCCTTTGCCAGGTGTGGCTGCCTGGAATTGGGGGAGGAAAGGAGGGCTGGACTGGAAGCGCAGAGGAAGACAGGCTCCTAATAACCAGGCAACCCCCCCTCTTCGGCCTCCACACCAGAAGAGGACTCCCCGAGGCTAAGCTCCAGGTTTCTCCCACCACTTCCAAGCAGAGAAGGGTCCCTTCCCTATGTGGAGGCTGAAGGAGGGGGGTGTCGAGCCCAGAAAAGCTCAAGCTCTCACCTGCACAAACAGGCTGGATAGTAGGAACCTGTCTTCCTCGGCGCTCTTTTGGTCTGGGCATTTGGTCTTCCCCACCCCACCCCATGCCAAAGGAAAGCCAGCCGGGCTTCTCCTTCCCTCCTTCCCTCCTACCCTTCCCCCTGCTCCCTTCTCCGCACTCAATCCTACTTCAGGACAGAGGAGAGAGCGCTGGAAATATGTGTTGGCATTTCCAACATGCATTTTTCTGGCGCTCGCCCGCAATTCTTTGCGTTCCTCCAGGCCTGGCTTCCTGAGGGGGGAGAGCAGCCCTGATGTCTCTGCTGCCCTCTCCCCACACTCCCAGCCATTGCTCCCTGGGGAAAGAAAGTGAGCAGAAAAATAGCTCTTGCTAGGGCGAAAGAGCGAAGATTGGGGAAGGCGCAGACAACAGAAAGCGGCGCTTTTCCAAGGCAGCAGCTTCCGTCTTCTCTTGCCTGTGCCTTCCTCAATCTCAGCTCTTTCACCCCGGCGAGAGCTATGTTTCTGCTCACTTTTCCTGTGCCTTCTCCGGGCAGTGATGGGGGGCAGCAGAGCAGAGCGCCGAGAGGGATGAGAAAACTGACGTCGATGCCAGTGCCCCATTCCGGACCTCTGAACTGGATGGTGAGCACAGACTTGTCCACTCTGCCCCCTCCCACCACCAGCATCCAGTATTTTTCCTGCCCCGGGCCATCCCTACAGCCTACGGACATCGAGGAAGAGCCCAGGCCAGAAGAGGTGAGCTGGAAGGTGTGGGAGTGCCATGCAAATGCAAGTAGCGTGGTGCTCCTGCACCTTCCAGCCATCTCCATCACCACTTCAGCCCGCCTTTGCTGCCAGCCCCCTCTTGCCTGCAACAGCACCATTACCTCGTCCTGGCCAGCAGTTTGCGCTCGACTGAAGGGTGGGGGCCAATGGGTGGGCAGTGCAGCCTCGTGTTCCCGCACAGCCTGGATTAATTGCTTTGGGGGGGGACATTTCTCTGCGGCCCACCAAAATTTTCTCATGGATCACCAGTGGGCCGCAGCCCACCAGTTGGCGACCACTGAGCTACAAAACTATAGCTATGCTACTTGAAAGAGGTGTTTCAAAACCTGTATACATCTAAGCTCCTCTCTTCATCTGTTTAATGTAGATGCATATTTGTAGGTGTCAGCCACACAGCTGCTTTAAAAGCTGTTTCCCAATTTTCTATATATTCTGTACAATTTTCTGTGTAGATCTGGCAATAGCCAGCATAAATCAACATCTGTAAGTTGAGGTGGCATTAATTTTTCTGGCTGTTCGGCATTATGAAATGATGATGCTATGTTCTGCTGAGTCAAATCACTTAGTCATCTATCATAGCAATATACATTCAGTTGGCACTGATTGTCTCAGACTAATCTACCACCTAAGGTCTTTATAACTAGGGGCCTTATCCAGATACTTTTTACATTCAAAGTCACATACTTTGGAACTGACTATAGTGTGTCTCTTATAAATATCCCAGCAGTTGTTTCTAAATGCATAGTATAAAATTGTTCAGGTCTAATTTATATATAGGCCTGTTGCTGGACTTCTCTACACTTGAAAATAATTATGATGATTTTTTTTTTATCATTGGAGAAAAAAAACTCTTTAGGAAAAATATTGTATTTGTTGAAGGGCGGGTGGATGACAACAGTGTTCTTCCTGACCTGTTTGTGATGACTTGTTCATACCTGGAAGTCACTGAGTGGGACAGTAATCAAGAATCCAGGATGCATAAGTCAACCAAATGTGAAGTGTAGGATGAGGGATTGATCTACTTTATATCAAACCATGAAAGCACTGTAATATGAACTGTTGTCAATTTGAAATGGTCTGTGGTTATTTTTCTTGGATGAAAGCAATGGCAGGAAGGCAGTTAGAAAGAGGATAGGCTGATTAGAACACAAACATGTAAGGTGAGCATCTGATCATTATGAAAGTAAAGTTTGATGTTGACTTGTCACCTTCTCCAGACAGTTATCTGAAGAAAATGCTAACCTCCAAGAATATGTTGAGAAGGAAAGCAAGGAAAAAAAGAGGCTGAGCAGGACAAACGAAGAGTTGATGTGGAAACTGCAGACCTCAGAACCCATGAGTCCTGTTAAACTATCTCCAACTTCTCCGACGTGCATTTATCGCTCTTCATCGGGACCACCAACTCCAGCTAAAGTCAGCACAGTACCAAGATGACAGACCAATGCAGCTACTTAAATAGACTTGGCCCAGAATATGGAAAATTGCAGTCCAAGCAAGTTGTTAGGAACTGCAGTGAAAGATTTGTTGCTGTTCCCACATATGCTCTAGTTCCTTGTGATTAGGCAATGTACTTTTGTCATTTCAGCATCAGCAACTCAAAACTAGCATATGAGATCAAAAAATAGCAATGTAGTCTGAAGCATGGGAACACCTTCTGGGATTAGAGGCAAAAACACTGGAAAACTTACTTATCATTCACTCCGAATGATTTCTTTTTCCACAATAATATTTCAGGTTAGTTGCAAATAGCTCTGCTTACATCTATGGCTTTGGTGAGGTATGGATTGTATTGAAATCCAGGCACAAAATGTACTCAATACCCCAAAGCCCTACATATACAGCTCTGCATGTATAACCGAAGCTGTTCTGAATTGCAATTTTTCATGAACTAATTCTGCAAAAAGTGCTGATATTTTCAAGACAGCAATTTTCTAAAATGTGCCTAAAATTTATTCTGAAAGGAATTGCTTTTGGGGGGGGGGGAGGGGCGGCTGGGATCAAAGCTTCCCAGAAACATTTCTACCCAGACTAGAAAAAAGTTAGAAAAAAGGAGAAGCATCTTCTAAATGACCACCGAGTGGTACATTTTCTAAAGCAGAACACCAGTGACTTTTGAATTCTTAAGTAGTTACTGACTTCAAAAATGATAATTGGTTTTCTACTCAATGCCTACCATGGTCACTCATCTTCCAGGCTCAGTATTAGATCTTGCAACTGTAATCAGTCAGTTACTTTTTTTCTTTAGCTCATTAGAGTGACTGACTTTTTTTAAAGTTTCTAAATTGTTAGCAATTAATATATATAAAAACATGAACATAAATATCCGCCGCCCCAAAAATCCATAAAACCTTTCTTTGTATAGTGACCATCAAATTTAGGCTAAAATCCTAACTTAAAGTCAACAGACTAAAACATTTGGTTGAAGACATGAAGTAGTTTGTATGTTCTTTGATGTATTTTGCTCTTTTGCATATAAAAACCCCAACTCTACTGACAGAAACTTTCTCATTCACAGAAATGGCCTAAAGACATAGTCATCCCAGGCAGCTGCTTGTAGCACATTATTTAATACCAGTGAAACGATTGGCAAGCTGAGAAGGTTGCCTTTGATCACTGATTAGTCAATTGTGTTGTGGTTGTATGCAGTATTGGCATATTGAGCAACTTTGTCAGGGATACCAGGTACGGCTCTACAAGCAGGGGCCTAAACTTGACATTGTGCACTTCCACTTACTCCATGTTCACAGAATTTTGTCTCCATTTATGGCCAACCCACTGGGTCCAAGTGTTTCTGCTTTTCTTAATTTCCATCTGAACACTGGTACCCAAATATGTAGTTAGCAGTAGCATTGAATAGGGTCTCCTGGTTGCTCAAATGTAGACTGGCTTCCGAAAGTGTATTGTGGAAGACAGGATAGTAATATATTTTGAGATAATTCTTGATCTCAATGAAAGTATGAAAAGTATGCAGCCGATTCCCTTTATTGTCTTTGATGTTAGAAGGTGAGTTCTAGCATGTTGTCAAATATGTTAGACTAGACTGTGAAAGCATTGATCCTAGCACTTGAATGCTTGTGGAGCATAAATTGTCTAAGTCAGCCTT